TTTTTAGTTGTCCGATTAATTTCTTTCTAATTTTGGTAGAGACGGGGTCTCGCTCTTGCTCAGGCTGGTCTCAAACTCCTGAGCTCAAACACGATTCACCCCTGCCTCGGCCTCCCAGAGAGCTAGGATTACAGGCATGAGCCACCGCGCCCGGCTGGAAGGAAAGTTTTATTACATAAAAATGTAGTGCATTTTGCTCAAGATAGCCATGAAACTCTTTGCAATTTGATTTAATATGGCTTTTTTTGGGGAGGGGTGTTCTTTAATGTCGTATAGTTAAGGCCCTGCAGTGATTTTTAAGTGTGTGATCATATCTTCAGCCTGGGTCCCTCCCCGTAGTTTTTTTTTCAAAGTTATGAAGCCAGGGTGGTAAGTCCTGTTGGGTGTTTGAAATGTCCACTATTCTTATCTGAATGTGCTAGTGACAGCAGAGCACTACCTCCACCTCAAAGGCTGCCTGTAGACAAACTGTTTCAGCAGGTGGCCTTTTGGAGCTTCCTGCCTGGAGGCCTTCTGGTTTCATGTCCCCTTGCCAAGTCCTAGTTCACACTTGAGTCACTCACCTCCTTGCCAAAGGCAGTGGCTGGCAGCCGTGGCAGTGGCAAGAGACTAGAAATCCTTTAACTTTGAAAACGGGATTTCTGGTCCATAGTGTGGGGCTTTGGGACATGTTACGTATTTTATTGGGCTGCCTTTGTTTTTCCATCACTCCCTGGAGCACTGGTCTTAGAGCAAACACTATGCTTCAGTCTTGCCTTCGGCAGAGAAGAAGGAAACAGAAAGGCTTTATTCTTTGGACCCTTTTCTGGTTGTTTCAGGACCCAGTCACGTGGATTTGAGAGTGCACTTGAGGGCTCGTGTTCCATGGCAGAGACCTAATAATGGCTTACATTTATTGTGCTCTTATTGTATGCTGGGCCCTTGGCGTGAATCATCTCTCTGAATCCACATAGCCACACTAGGAGGTAGGTGGTGATGTGATTCCTATTTTATAGGTGAGAAAACAAGAACAGAGAGACTAATTGACTTGTTCAGGGTGACACGCCCAGTAAGTGATCTAGCACTGTGTCCTACCTGGGCAGTCTGATTGCCCAGATGGGGCTGACTACAAGGCTATACTTTTCATAGCTGAAGGGGCAGTACAGCGGTAGGTCTAATGGGTGCCTGCTCTTATTTCCAGGGAAGCCAGTGGATGAGCAGCATTCCCCATGCTCCTTCTACCTCTTGGGGCCAGACCCATTTCTGTTCAGAGTAAGGAGCTGCTCTGAGGCCTCTGCTCTTGCCTGGCTTGAGCCTGGTTTTTCCCGTTAGCCTTTCCACCTCCTCACCCTGGTGAATGATGTGATTTTTTTTTTTAACATAATAAATAAATAGCCGTCATTGTAAGAAAATCAGAAAGCTATATAAACAAAAAGAAAAATTGTTAAAACCATCCATACTCTCTATACTTGGAGATAACTACTTTTGACATTTTGATATGTTTTCTTCTAGTCTTCTGTCTAGGTAGCCAGGTAAAATTTTTGAACTTTCTGTGTGATAATATCAGTATCTTTCACTTGTGTATGTGGCTAATATCTGTGATCTATAGACTGATGACTTTTCCAAATAAACTTATACTTCTCTTAAATATGTGGTTGACTACTCTAGCAAAAGTCCAATACCAGCACATGTGGTCTAGCCCTGGATTGACTTTTTTTCTTTTTTAATTTCAACT